TGAAAGATTCCAAGTTCATTGCAGCAAGTGTTCCAAATCGCGCCAACGCCTTTGGTCTGATTACAACAGGTATTTATCTTCATCGTCGCTGCTGTTACTGTTACTGGTGCATTTATTTTGACCTTATAGTTGGTATTTCTCCCCTTGCTGCAACTACTTTGCACTGGCTAACTTGGGAGATGCTTCATTTCCCGATTGTAAAATCTAAAATCATAGATTTTTTTTGTTATTAAACTTTGACATTTCCTTAGAACCAAGAATTAGTTAAGCCTCTTAGAACCAAGAATTGGTTAAGCCTCCAGGCGTTGTCTATCTAAAGGAGTTTGAAGACGGGTTAAATCGTACCTTGTTCATTTTGGATGGAATTTACACAAGGCCTATACATTTTTAGGGATAATTTCACAATCTTACCAACTTTTCCTTTCTTACACTCTCTAAATTTACTAATAAAATTACTGTACAACAGAAAGAAAACTAATACCCAGCCTGTTCATATGCCAAAACATTTTCTCTCAATGTCTGCAGTCTGCATCTTCTTTGAAATCAGTGCCATAATTTTAAATTTATGCTTGTCAACTAAAGAAAGTTATTAGATTTGCTAACATATTTAAATTTCTAACGGCAAGTTCAACTACAAAAAATTAGCGATAAGTAGTGTGTTTTCTATCTTTTTTAGTTTGAAACCAAAGAAAATCCATTGATGTCCTTTCAACTCTTTAGCATTAGTCAATGGTGATGTTTGTTGCAAATTGAAACTACTATTGCTAAATGGTATTGTTAATTAAAATCTTCCATTAGTTGTGACTTTTATGTGCACCTTTCTCTGTTTCTTCAAGTTGTACATTCTGCACTTTTGGTTTATATTAAGTCCAGGAAAGAAAAACTCTTTGGCCTCATGTTTACATGTCCTTAACCATATTGTTAATCTCATTCACTAACATATTTAGTACTAGTCATACACACCCCTTCTTTTATTTGCAACTAAAGAAAAGTGTTTCTTATGTCATATCTTCAGGAGCATTTCCAAAAGACTTTGCAACTTAAATTTAGACTGAAGATATATGATGAATGAGGATATCAATTGATTCAAGTTTCATGTTCTTTCCCTTAAATGTGTGGTATTCATCTAATGTGAGTGTTTCCTGTTGGTTCTTATAGATAAGAACTACTTTATTAATGTGAAGAAACATTCTGCATATTTTCATGCTATAAACCCAGTATGCTATTTGTGTTTTGAGTACCAAGGAGTCGAAGTAGAGTAGAAATTGGAGAAGAGAAAAGGGGAGGATGATAATAAATCACGAGTCCGGATATTGATAAATTTTCATTTTTCCTTGAGCTGAGGGTCTAGCTGAAACAACCTCTCTATGGAAAGGTCTGCCTACATTCTACCCTCCGCAGACCTCACTTGTGATGTTGCTTGTTTGTTTGTTGATGCAGAAAGTGAATGTAAAGTAAGGTCCTTCCACATTCTTGTGACTTCTTATATCTTGCTTCTCTAAAACATTTCTGTGGCTTTTCATGGAATTCATCTCCTATTCGATTACCCATGCATTTAAAATCATTGCATTGATCACTTGTGTTTGTAAATCTAATCGAAAATGCAGTGGAATACTGGAATGTGAGCATATCTCCATCCAAGGTTATTTTTCTTTCTTCCAATTGGTAGTTGCAGTTAGCTGTGTTTGTTATTGATTAACAGAAGTGACAGGTGCAGATGGAATTATGTGTGTAATTCTTCAAAGGCCTGATCTGGGTTTCAACCTCAACTGCTGTTTCATATGTCTAAAGAGGTGGACAGGAAAAAGTCAGAGATGTGGTTGCTGTTAAATTTAAGTGCTAACTTTTAGGTTTTTGCATTTGGTATATATTGAGTCAATTTTCTTAGCCTGAGATGAGTTTATATGGCTAGACTAGACCGTTACGTTCTTTTTCAGCAGATGAGTATTTTAATAAAGTCCTCTCAGCAGTGTGTTTTCAAATATTTACTTTTACCTTATTAAAAAAAACAGTGTGTTAACTTAATGACTTTCAATTAGAGAAAATTGAACAAATCATGTACTACAAATAATGCAAATTAGACCTTCAGTTTTCTTATGCTCCTTTAAAATCTGTTTGGTATATAAGCGTATGTTGCTCCTCCTAATAAGGATGAAATGGTTGAACGTAATTTCTGTTATAACCTTTTAAAAAAGAATCAAGACTGCCGGATGGAAGTAATTATCCTTCAAAATATTTTAACTCTTATGCAATTTCACATGTCTTGTTCTAAATGCTCTTGGTCTCTTCACTTTAGTTTTATTGGCAACATAGGTTTAGATGCTCTTGGTCTCTTCACTTAGTTTTATTGGCAAATTATAGTTGAAGTTAATCGCTAGTTAGCATTAGCGTGTTAACATTTGTAGGGATAAATTCGTGGTTTCATGCCCAACTTTCCCAAATGAAGTTTCTATTGAAGATAATGATGCAGTATGAGCTTTGCTCGTAGAGAAAGAGTTGCTACAAAATAGAATTCTTAGTTTAAATAAGAAAAACAGAGCTTTGGAAAGAGATAAAAAGAGTAAAATGTATTGGATTTGTGACATAAATAAATTACGATCAAAGAAAAATTTAATTGACTCTCCAAATATTATATGAACCACATAATATTTGACAAGGTAGTAAAGATATTTCCAAAAATTAAAAAGATAGTTTCAATACTTTTTATGTTTACAAGTTATGTTAAAAGTATAACTCACTTTAATTAACAACTTAAAATAATTTATAAAAAAATAAAAGTTACGATCAGAGAAATTTTTATTGACTCTCAAAATCATATATGTATAGCACTAATTGGGATAGAGAGAGTAACATACATTGAGTTCGTTCCATATAAAAAATATGTTAAAAAATTGATTGACTCTCCAAATTTCATATACACTCCATAAATTGAAAAAAGAGGAAGTAAGGACATTCCAATAATTAAAAATACATTCTCAATAATTTATGTAATTGTAATTTACGTTAAAAATACTAAATTTAAATTTTCTAAAGTTACTATCAAATAAAAATTTGGTTGACTTTCAAAATTTTATTTATATTAGAAAAATTAAAATAAAAACAATAATATATATTGAGCTTGTATTGACCGATGCTTTAGACAAGAAGGAGGTTCACGCGAGGCGATGTGATATTTTAAGGGGAAACTAAGCAAATACCCCGTAAAAGGAAAATAATTACAAACATAAATCCTTTTACATTCATACCCCATGAAATAATCATACTATATACACCCAACTAATTCGCTTAACTGATACAAAATCGGTATCATATACTGTATTGTTATCATTACGACTGATAATTTCGCTTAATTGATACTAAATCAGTATATATATATATACTGTATTGATATCACTAAGGTTTCTTGTTAAGAAATTACTCATTAGTCAATGATACTATAAGAGTATAATATATACTCTTATAGTATTATTGACTAATGAGTAATATTTGAACAAGAAACCTTAATGATACCATATATATATATATATACACACACACTTATACTATCATTGACTAATTAATGAGTAATTTCTGAACGTAAAACCTTATTGATACCACAACAAAGGAACAAAAGAGCTTTGGTTTTAGAATAACAAAAAGTGGAGTAGGTGAAATGAATGTGTAGATAGGAAGTTTTGGAGAGAAACTAACCTAGATGGTGATGACGGGTGATGGCCATTCCCCTACTGGGGTTCGTCTTCAACTTTCAACTTGTGAATTTCCTTTTCTTCCTTCAACCCAACCACTAAGTATACCAGCCATGAACTCAAATTTTCCCAACGAAAAATCCTTTGTTGATTCATTTAATGTTAATACTGATTCATAAACTATTGAGTATAATTTGTTATTGAAAGAAGCAACATATGTAGAAGGAGTCCCGCAAGTGAATTGGACTGAACAGGAGGTGATAAAGATGATTTGTATTGAGAAACTGCAATTTGCGATAATTGGAAAATTCTCATATGAATGGACAGATCTGGAAGAATTGAGATGGATTATCCCTCAACAATGTGAGCTAAAAGGAGATTGTAAAATTGGATTGCTACGTAGTAAGCATATTCTAATTAGACTTACATAACGTGAGGACTATGTTAACATGATTTCGAAAGGTGTGTTTTATATTAATTGTTAAGATGGGTATTCGTATTTGATGCGTACCCTAATATATGATTCGAAATTCAAAGTATCTGAGGAGACAACTATGGCTATGGCATGGATCTCTTTTCCAAACATTCTGCGACCTTCTTTGTAAAGGAATGTTTGTTTTCAATTGCCTCGGAAGTTGGTAAACCAATACACTTGCATCAAGAAACAATTAAGAAGACAAGGCCTAGTTGTGCACGTGTGAAAGTGTTGGTGGATCTCAAGGGAAAATTTCCGAAATCAGTGCAGATGAATATAGGAAATCCTGACACGGGAGAAATAAGGTCGAGCATGATCTCAATTCAATATGATTATGTACCTAAATATTGTTTTGAGTGCAAGATGCAAGGACACAATAAAGATAAATGTAAAATTGGGGTAATGGCTAGAAGAAAGGAAGAACAACTCAATACGATAGAGCAGAATCGACAGAAACAAGAGCAACAACCACTAATGCATAAAGGGCATGCTAGAATTCTGTCAAGTAGAGAAGTACTCGGAGATCTAGGAAATTGGAACATAGTAAAAAATAAAAGAAGCAGCCCTGTAAATACTAATTTACCTATCACTGAGGTGGATAATAAATTTGATTCCCTTGCACAAGAAGGTGATACCAATAACGGGGAGGATGATAACATGACTAATAAGGACAAAGCATCAGTTCACGTAGGAGAATCAACAAAGGATTGGATCAACAAATCATTTGGTCTAGTTAGACAAGATGAAAAAGAAAAACAAAAAGAGCAAGTGGGAAATCATAACAATGAGAATCTTATAGTTGAATCTGCTCAACAAAATCTCATGGGTACCAAAGGAAGTGGAAATGAACAAGATAGTAATGAAAAAGTGATACCTTCAGTGGAATCCGATGGTAAATCAGCAAATACGAGGGAAAAGTATCAAAATAGTAATAACAACGACAGTCCAGATTACATTAAAATACATGAGATTAATAGCCAATCCAAAGAAGAAGAAAAAGAAGAACTTAGCAACAACAGCCCCATAAGCATTACTTCACATCATAAGGAGGGTCGAACCGAAAATAAAAAATTGTAAATGAATGTGGGAGACTCTGAATCTGTTTGTGCGAATTCCAGCAGCCCTGCAAAACAATCAGAACAGTCATTTCAACAAGTTAGTGAAAAGAGGTTAAACAGTGATTAGATTGAGTTACCTCAATCTCCAAATGAGGTTTTACATGAAATTCTTATACATAAAGAGTCAGAAGTTGAGTAGATACAATCATATGACAGTAAAAAAATCCTCACAGATTTTCATATTGAAAAAGAAGCAGACCTTTCTCCAAGAAGTACTATGTCAATGACGTCAGCAAAGAAAGGAAAGAAAAATGGCAATGGTGAACTTAATCAACCCATCAGAACACAGCCCAAAAGACAGGTGACTAATAAACAACAAAATTCTCTATGAAAGCACTCATATGGAATATTCAGTCGGTGAGGACTCAAAATGCTTTTCAAAGAGTCCAAATGCTTCATAAATTTCACAAATTCAATTTTGTTGCTTGGATGGAACCATTCCAATATGAAAGATGTTTGATTAGATTCAACAAAAGGCTTAAAATGGCTAAGGTGTTCGCAAACAGTAATGGAAGATATGGTTGTTTGTTAATCATGGGTTCGATGTGGTAGAAGTGAGAAATTCCAACTAACAGATTACTGTACATATCAGAAATCAGACCACAAATTTTATTATGGTGGTGACTATTGTATATGCCAAATGTGACCGTAATCAGAGATTTGAACTTTGGGAGGAAATATCACATATTGCTGAAGGGCAGGATCATCCATGGATAGTAGGATGGGATTTTCATGTGGTCCTGAATGAGTGAGAAAATATTGGTGTACTACCAGTGGTGGGGTATGAGGTGGAAGATTTCCTTTATTGTATAGAATCTAATGAATTGGATCATGTTCAATTCAAAGGCAGTCCTTTCACTTGGTGGAATGGTAGGACATGTAGTGACAACATCTTTGAAAGATTAGACAAAATTTTGGTCATTAGTGTGTTCCAGGATCACTTTAATGTCATGGAGGTGGAGCACCTTCCAAGAACAGGCTCGGATCACGCCCCTTTTCTTTTCTCTTGTGACAATAGGGATAATAGATTCATAAAACCTTTTAGGTTCTTGAATTTCTGGACTAAACATAGAGGTTTTAAAGAGATTGTAAGATTGAATTGGGATGATGAATTCTCGGCCAACCCTTTTTTGCATTTCAAAAGAAAGATAAAGAAAGTGAAACAATCTCTCTCCTCTTGGAGCAAGGATAGTTTTGGGGATATTTTTCAACAACTCATTAGTAGAGAAGAAATAACTAGAATCAAGGAAAAAAACTTTGAGGAATTTCCTTCTCCCGAAAATAGAGCTATTATGCAAAGGGCCCAAGGCATAATACTCTAGATATCTCCATCTTGAGGAGAAATTTTGGCAACAAAAAGTAGGTTATGATTGGTTTGAAATTGGTGATAGAAATACAAGATTCTTGCATACTTTGGTGAAAGGAAGAAGGCAAAGAATGAAGGTAACAAGAATGCAAAATATTCAACGGCAATGGCTAGAAAATGAGGATGAAATTTCTATTGAAGCAGTAAATCATTTTCAGAGTCAATTCCGCCAGGACAGGGATGAGACAAATATTACTGTAACGACTCGAAAAACTAGTAGGTGAAACTAGAGCCTAACGAGTGTGTTGTTGAGTTTGATATGAGGCTTTGTGTTGTAAAATGAGTTCCCGGGTGTAGATTGAGGGGTTTAGTGGTTAAACGTCAAGGTACGACCCCCCAAGACCAACCAAGGGTCCTTGAGGGGGACCCTAAAGCCTAACCCCACGGCTGCCCCAATTAGCCAAAAGCTTTCAAAAAGATGAGGACCTACGGATGGGACCTACGCCCCGTAGGTCCATCCACGCACCTTGGATGCCATCCGTAGGTCAAGGCCCCAATTGCCATGTTCCAATCCCAAACAACGACTTTGCCAGTACGGCTTGTGGACCCACCCACGGTCCGTGGGTGGTGTTTCGTTAGTGGCACCTGCAATTCTGTCCAAGCTCGACCTAAGTTGGGAGCAACATGGTAAATTCCTAATTAGTTAGTTATGGGTTGGGGATGGTTTAATTTGATTAATTAGAGTTATTTAAGGCTTTTAAAAGTATTAAACACCCTTTTACAATTAATTATTTCCTAAACACAAAATAGAAACCAACGGGGAAATTTTTTGAGCTGGAAAACTTTTTCGTAGTAACTTGGAATTTTTCAGCCTAGTTCAGATTTGGGCAAAATTGGAGTCATTATAGTCTAGGGAAATCTTGTAACAATTGGATTATCTATTTATGAATTTGATTACATGAGTAGTTACATAAGTCGTTAAGGAATCCGTACGACTTTACGGAATTGAATTCGGGTGAGTAGAAATTCCAGAATCGATCTTAGCGTGAACGATATTTTCTGAGCGTCGTTGGTTAAAGGTGTGTTGTGAAATGGGGGTCTTGGAATTATTTAAATAACTCACTGATTTCGTGCAGGCCGCTAGGGTGGGATTTCTGCCGCCAGGGCGGGGCCGCTGTAGCGGGGTGAGGACCGTTGTAGCGGGTCCAACATGACTTCAAGTTGTAAATAAACTCCAAAATGTGTTTATTCTGCACTTTTCGGTTTTTAGAGCTAAGGAACGAACCAGAAGAGACTCTTGACAGTTTTCCACTACTCTTGAGGCTAAAGGTAAAATTTTAACTCCTCGAATCTATTTTTTGATATGTAGAACGTAATCTAGTGGGTAATTATCGATGGAGGAGGGTTTTGATCTAGAATCTCTGGTGGAAACAACCCTATTTTGGATACTTGGGATTATGGATATAGTCTAGGGTTGTTAGAATTGTTAGTAATTCAGGTAATTAGTGGTTGTTTATTGATTCCCGTGTTATTATGATTGTTTGTAGACCAAGAACAAGCGAAACAAATTCGGAAAGGGAAGGATCAAGTTTCTTAGGGTTTCAAGCTTGTTTCGAGGTAGGTGATGGTTGTTATTCTATGATTGTGTGATGTATGTTCGTTCTTGCTTTATTATGATACACGTATGTATGTGAATGATACATTATTGGTCACACTTGTTGTAAATGGGATAGATAAACGAAGACTTCCATAAATCATGACTTGGTTGTATGAACTTGAGAATATACTTGTGATTGCAATTGTGGTGCATTGAAAGGATCGGTTGCCATGTTCTGGCATACTAACTTGGATCGGTTGCCCCATTTCGGCATAATTATGGGACCAGTTTCCATATTCCGGCACAAACATTGGATTGGGTACCACGTTCCGGTATGCAAACTATTTGAGTTTGGGTTCCATGAGAGGACCAATGACTTGTCATAATTGTGTATCTTGAGAAATGTGAAGTTGTTTGTTGTTCATAAATGTTGATAATATTGTATATGTGCGATTTATGCATGTGATTATATTGTTGTATTGACTTACTTATGTTACACTTAGTGGGATCGCCGCGTGATCCTACCAATACACTATGGTTGTGTAATGATACGACACTTGCTCTTTCTTTGTTGAGTACAGGGCATTTTCTGGCGGCTATTGACAGACCTTGTCTAGAAGATCAGTGATCACTTCGAATTCAAGCGTGAGCCAATTCTTTCGGGCTGCCATGAGTTCTCTTTCGTCTATGTCCACCGTTTGGTACTTAGACTTTCTAGTTAGTTACTAGTTCATTGGTGTGTGGTTGTATTCCTTCTTGTTTAGACTTGTTGAACTTTAGATGTTTTGGTACATTGACTTTCAGGTTCTAGGTTATTTCTTCCGCATTTGTTTAGTTCGTTGTTAGATCTTTTAAAAGTTTATGCTAACTTAAGTTTTTCGCTATTTACTTGTTTCGTATCCTTAAATGCTTTATTTTTGGTTTAGTTGCTTGGATTGTATTGTAGTACTGGTTCTCCCTCTAGAGGGTTTGTGTGGGTGTCAATCACGATGATCTGGGTCGTGACAAAGTTGGTATCAGAGCCTAGGTTTGTTGATCTCGATATACCAAAACAATTCTAGTAGAGTCTTGCGAAACAGTATGGGGACGCCTTTACTTTTCTTCGAGAGGCTATAGGACTTTAGGAAATATCTCTGTTTTCTCTTGTCTCCTTTCGTGCTATGACTTGATTCCAATTGGTATCTGGCGATTCAAATTGGTATATAACCTCCTTCACTCTTATGTCTGCCGATGTTTAATACTAGATTCAACGGCGTCAGGCCTGTAGCTCCCATCAATGCTACAGCTAAGGAATCTGCAGCGAGAGGTCGCGGTCGAAGCAGGGGTAGAGACCGTGGAAAAGTGGTGCTAGCTAGAGATAGGGTACCGGTTGAAAATATTCTCCAAAATGACACCCCTCCCGTACATTACGAAGATATTAAATAGGATATTGATGTTGAAAACATTGAGGAGGCGGGACAAGAGGAAGAGGTGCAGGCTGAGACTACCGATATTCCACCCATAGACTCGGTGTTAGCTCGACAGATCATGTCATTCTTGAAAGGGTTGGTTGGTCCTGGAGTGCTTCCTTCTGTTCAAACAACTCAAGCTCATTCCATTCCCCATGTTGCTATCACTACCCCAAGGTGGGTGGAACTGGAGGTACTGATGCTTTGTTTCGTCCTTTGTTGAGTTTTGTTATGACTGGTAATGAGCATCAAATGTTGACTAAGTTTTTGAAGCTAAAGCCTTCTGTATTTCTTGGTTCTGAGAGTGAGGATGCTTATGAGTTTATCTTAGATTGCTATGAGAGGCTTCATAAGTTGGGAATTGTCCATCAGCATGGGGTTGAGTTGGTGACCTTTCAACTTCAAGGTGACTAAGTTTTTGAAGCTAAAGCCTCCTGTATTTCTTGGTTCTGAGAGTGAGGATGCTTATGAGTTTATCTTAGATTGCTATGAGAGGCTTCATAAGTTGGAAATTGTCCATCAGCATGGGGTTGAGTTGGTGACCTTTCAACTTCTCTTCAACTTTACCTCCACTTACTTGGACCCAATATCATGCTTTGTTTCTAGAAAAGCATGTGCCTAGAACTTTGAAGGATCGTAAGAAGGATGAGTTCA